GCTCCCAGACCATCTGCAGCTCCAAGCACAGTTTTATTATTGCTGATTATTATTTTTATTATTATTGATTTTAATGGGAAACAAAAAACAACTGATGTGCCAGTCTTCATTGTGGACCAGAAAATCCTYTCTGTGTCTAAATGCACACTYTGCATATTGCACCATTTGTTATATTCTCCAATATGGCTGAAGTCAATGTTAATGAAAGTAATTTTGGCACYGTTTGCACATATTTTTATATCTAGTCATCTAACTGCATACATGCAATAATAGTTTATCATGCGTGTCTGGTGTGAACAATAACAGTTTTCACATCATTAACAGTTTGTCAAAATATCCACTAATGCCTCTTTCCACTAGTTCCTAGCATGGTTCGAATTCGCTCTCCRTGGTTCCAAAGCTTTTCCATTTGCAAGGACTCATGGAACCAGACCCTTTTTCAGAACCTATTTCACTGTGGTTCCAAGAGTACCATGCTCGCCTGAAAACACAACGTCAGAAGACTGTCGGTCACTGATTGGTTAGAGTGTTAAGTTTGCATCAYAAGAGCTACTCTCAGAACAACCCAATACACTATTTGCAATAACACTACCATGTCCTCCATTGTTGTGTTGTATCTTTTTGGGGTCTTCTTCTTCTACGTTGTTTATTGGTGGCTGGCAAATAGCTTAATGGACCATAACCGCGACCAGCTGGTAAGGCRTGTGGCATCAATTTTCAAACTCTGGGGCCGCCCAACTTTACGATGAACCCAGCTAGAGCTGTTACTGAAGTGTAATAGAAAATCACCCAAACTGTGATGAACAGAGTTCAKCCAAGTYAAAYCATGCTATAGAGGCACTAGTGGAATAGAGCCATCAGTGTCACCAATAGAACCAGAGCCACCATGAAGTTGGTGTGGGCCTGTGCACATTTTCACGCTCATTTCAGTCWTGATCGATCTGGTAAAAAAMMTTTTCAAGCAAGCTTTTTGTGCATATGCACCGCACAGTTAATACATAAGGCTCCTGCAGCCTCACTTTCAGCCTAGCTGTAGAGGAGGAAACCCCATCAGAAGAACGAGCAGATACAGGTGAAAGAGACCCCATTAATCACCATGCCTGTTACCCTGCTCACAACTGAGAACTCCCACCACTGAGAACTCCCACCAACGCTTTGAAACAATTTGGATACTCCCTCTCAAATGCTGTTCACCAAATGGTCCCCAGCAGTAACAACACAGTGTGATGCTGGTTTAACAGAAAGACACTGAGCAGGGCTGCAGAGTTCCTGTCTTTATTTGGAGCTTCCCTCTGACCCCCCCATCCACCCATCAGCTACACACTGATCACTGGCAGCCATTAGGAGACTTAAAAGACAAGAGTGTCCACTTGACAGGACCGACATAAGCTGAAGAAAACCACAGCTCCCTCTTATCAGCATGTTTATTGTTCTATTCAAGTGTGTGTGTGTGTGTGTGTGTGTGTGTGTGTGTGTGTGTGTGTGTGTGTGTGTGTGT